CTATTTTTTGAGGGCGTTATAATGAATAGAAGTATAATCCTTCAAAGCAAAAAAAATAAAATAAAATAAAATAAAAAACAAAAACAAAAACGTCAAAAAAATGAAATTGGAAATGTTTAACAGTGAGTTATCGGACATGTACTTTTTGTTTGACAATAGGTTACTGAATAAGTATTTTTTGTTCGACAATGGTTACTAGATATGTATTTTTTGTTCGACAATGTGATACCGGATTATTTGATTTTGTTCGGTTCTGGTGTACCGAACAAAAGTCAAATAACTCTTTTCAAAAACAAAATGAAAACATAAAAAACAAAGAAAAAAAAAAAAAAAAAACTCACCATTTCAATTTTTTGTTGGTCCTTCATTACAATTTATTCGTCCATTACTTTCTTTTATGATCAAAACATTATGATTCTCACCTTTTGAAAGTAGATATATAGCAGAGCAGAATAAATGAGAAAGGAAGAAAAGAAGTAGGGATTGAAGTGTAATGGGTGTAAAGAAATAATTAAATCTATTCAATTTTTATCTTTTGTCCTTAAAGGTAATTTCACATATGGATAAAATTAGGGAAAAAAAAAAAATCTCAAATGAAGGATGTCACACCAAATCTTCTCTGTGCACATCATTTTTCAAGGCACACACTTAGGGAAATTCTATTTCCACACACCTAAATAACTCAGAGCAAATCTTTTCTCAATACACACACCTGTTAATTTATTTATTGATTGTTTTTCTCAATCCACACACTAAAAATTACAATTATATCCTTCACTCAAATATTATTGTACACACACTTACCCCTCATTTTCACACACTTTTTGAAAACTTGAAGACCAAAAAATTCCACCCATGTGAAGCTTGAACACCAGTTTGAAGACCATGTAGCGATCCCAGTTTTGCCACTTCGCTGAGTATGTTGGGGATCGAGCTGCCCGGTCAGCTCGCAGGGGTCAAGGGGGTAGAGCCCCTTGGCGGGTCCAAGGGCAGCGCCCTGGCGGGGGTCGAGCTACCCGGTCAGCTCGCGGGGGTCTAGGGGGCAGCGTTCCTTGGCGGGTCTAAGGGCAGCGCCCTGTCCAGAGTTGAGCTGCGCGGTCAGCTCGCGGGGGTCCAGGGGGCAGAGCCTTGGCGGGGTTGAGGGGTAGCGCCCCTAAAACAAAAATGCAAAATGCATTCGAAGTTGCTTGTCGGCTCGAGCGGGAAAGCAAGCCGCACGTGCGGATTTTAGGGGAGATCAGCTTGCACACTGCTAAAAAGGCAGGTGCGGAACTGAGGTGCGGTGGGTTGGTGAGATCCGATTTTTTTTCCCTTTTCTTCTCTCTTTAGGTTGAAGTTGAATCACTTTTGTATATCTCTCTCTCTCTAAAAACATTTCCTCTCCTTTCTCTCTACATTTCCTACCAAAAACCTCACAAGATCTTTGATTTCTTCAAATCCTTTGGGATTTGGACTTAAGTTCTTCATCAAAGTTGGTTAGCTCATCGAGGGCTTCGTTGTGTGCGGTGCAGATCGAGTTTGGACATCGTTGATTTTAGGGGTTTCATCTCATTTCTTCTTCAAAACTTGAGGTAGGGATTTTCTTAGAGTTATATATATATTTTTGCAAGATATAGATGATTTTCGAAATCATCATTCGATAGCTTTGAAAATTGATTGTTAATTCAAGAAATTGAGCGATTTTGAAAGTGAGTTTTTCTCTTGTTCTTTTAAAATGATCTTATAAGTTTTGATCTTCGTTGATTGAAGAAAAGATGATTTTGAAAAGTTTTCTTTCAAAAGATTTGAGTTGTATAGTTTTGATGAGAAAACCTAAAATTTGGGGATTTTTTTAAAGAGACTGAAAATCCATGAATGATATTATTATATTTATTTTGTGTGTCACAATAAATGGATGTTTGAAAGATTTCTTATTTATATTTATATAAATGATGAATTTTAGGGAATATGAGAATTGTTGTTCATTTTGGAAATTATTGTTCAAAACGTTGAAATAGTTTTGAAATGACTAATTGTTAAGGATACTTGAGAAGAGGGAGTTGTGTTATTCCTTGGATGATGAATTGGAATAAAAGTATTTATATTCAACTTGTGTTATTGGCATATCAATTCATTTGATTACATTAACCTTTGAAAGTTGATTTGAAAACTTGCATTGAGAAAAGAATGTTGAGAAACAAGTTTCCATGAATTGGTTTTGGGGTAAATACGGTGGTAAGTCTTGACAGGTGGTGTAGATGAAATTGAATAGGTGTCGAGCCTTCCAGTTAATATTGGTAAAAATGACAGATTATAGGTGTCGAGCCTTCCAGTCAATGCTGGTAAAAATGACAAATTGGTAGTACTTGTATAGTCTACTTGCAGATACCGACCTAGGGATTACCAGAGTCGTATTTACCGCTCTTGAAATAAATTGTTAAATTTTGAACAATTGAAATTGTATGATATCATTGAGCATGATGGTTTTTAAAAGATGAAAATGTGATTTATCTTCAAAAAGCGCATAGCATGGCATGCACATTTCATCTCTTGAAACTTGTATAAAATGTATGTACTTTGTTAAGAATTTCCTATTGGGCTTTATGCTCTCCCTACGGGATTTTTGTGCGAGAAAAGATGTGCTGATCTCACCCAACTAGGGGCGTGGAAGTACGTGTGTTGGGAGTACAATGCTCTCATTTTGCTATGACTCTGTGTGTAAGCCAAGGGCTGTGTTTGTGTGGGTTTGAATAACCGTTTTGTGTAACCAGGCTCAAGCCTTGAAAACTTGTAAATCCCTCGGGGGTATTTATTTGTTTATTTACTTGCTGTTGGATTAATGTATTGTTGCATGAAAAACTATCGTATCATGTAATGTAAGTTTAGAGATTTATATTTGGTTTTCCTTAAAAGAGCCGTGATTATTGTATTATCATTTGGGCTAAAAATTTGGAGCGTTACAGACCACATTCTTGAGCTACCCATGAATTTGAAGACCTCCATTGAAGTGAAAACCGCCAATGTCTAAAGTGAATCTATTGAAGCCATCCATGGAAAACCTCCATGAAAACCTCCATTGAAAACCTCTAAAATAGTATTGAAGGTAAAAGATCTTCTCATTTTCTTTTTATATTTATCATTTTCAGATCTTTGTACACTCCATTGCCATAAAATCCTTGATTTTTCCATGTTCACCGGTTGGGGATGTCGGCACTAGTTTGCCGAATTTGTGCACCAAATTTGAAAATCAACAACCGAATAAACTGTTATAGATCGACTGAATAGAGCCGAAAATAGTTATAATATTCGACAGTTACATTCTGAATGAAGCAAGTAAATATATTTCGGCAGTTGATATCTGAATTTAATACATAAATTTAACACTGGTTCTCCGAATTAAAATCGAAATCACCTCCACTTAACAATTAGCCACATGAATTAGGATTGCAATAAATAGATTTTCAAATTGTGGTCACCACATATTAATACGGCAGTTTATAATGGTTTGAATTCTATTTTTATTACTAACATAACAGTGCACAATGCTCCCCAAATCCACTATTTGACAGATTCGTTATAGATGTAGCATGGAATCAGTAGCAATCTAAAAAAGCAGGGGTTGCATTGAATGATAGAGGGAATCAAATCATCTCTAGGTAAACTACTCTCACCCAGACAACAATGGAAAAAAAACTAGGCTTTATTTTTTTTTTTAATTCAAAAGGTGTATATTGAGATCATTTTGTTCTTAAAAGATGTGTACAGAGAATTTTTGTATATAATATTATAAGTTGCTAGATGTGTATTATGGTCATTAAGGTTTAAGGTATAATTGTCATTAAATTAAAAATTCATTAAGTGTGTTCCTTGAGTTATTTAGACATGTAGAAATAAAATTTCTCACATTCTTACTGAATTTGAAATCTCTACTCAATACACAACTTATCATACCAAAAATGCCCTCATTTCCTTTTTCAAACCCTAATTCACCATTCTTCATTTACTGCCGGCCAACCACAACTTCCTCTACCAAAAAATTATGACATCATCACCACTATCATCTCTCCACCATCACCAATCGCCATTACCAGCCCATCCCATCCCATCTCATCTCACACCATTCCAATACATCTCCTCCTTAGCCCCTACTCTCACTGCCCACCCCTGATTATTCCAACCCATCACCATTCCACACCATTCCTTCACAACCTTGTAACTCCATACTCCACCATCCTGCAACTCTATAACTCCAAGAGAGAGAGAAAGAGGATGAGTTGAGGAAGAGATGGACATATGAGGCTGTGGCAATGGCAGGAAGAGTTGTTGGAGTTGAAAAGGGGTGATGAGGTAGCAGCGGCAATGTAAAGCAGTAAAGGCTAAAAATTGGTATCGAGATGATGGTAGTTGCAGCAAAAATGGGAGATGGGAAAAGTTGTGGCGAAAGTGGCTGTGGGGAAAGTTCACCAGAGGTGGAGGCTAATGACGGTGGACGACATGACTATGTTTTGGTCTGAGAATTAGGATTTTGGTTGAAAAGATGAGGATATTTTAGTATTTTTATTTTAGGATAAAAATGTAATATAAAAAAAAAATTCATTAAGTATGTGAATTGAGGAGATTTAATGTATGGAAATAGATGCTCTCAGGTGTAAAGAGGTAAATGTGTTGTGTAAGTATAATTCTCTAAAATAGCTAATAAAACCAAATGTCACATCTAAGTCATAATTATTTTATTTTTTCTCTCACAACTATCAAATCAACTATAAAAAAATGGCAACTATCTTCTCAAACGCAACTTTTTTAGCCAAGTTGAAATAGCCAAAATACCAACTAAAATAACCAAGTTCCCAAACAGGGCCTTAGTGCAAAGGTATGTATGTTGCACAAATATCGAACATGCAGATTTATAAGGCCAGTGATCTATGAATGTCGATTTATCTATTTTTCACAAATTTAAAAATTAATTTCTTATAGGATCCTGTTCAATTAAATTTTAAAAAAAAAAGATATTAATTTGAGGGTAAAAAAAGTAATATATAATGTTACAACAAACTCCATCCTCATTTTTTACACTGGAAAATTGATTGCCAATATTACCAAAAAAAATGAAAACAAAGATATAACAACAACAGAGCTCCTTTAGAAGAATATGATTTCTTTACATTTCAGATGATCATGAACTGGTAGTTTCAGATTCTAAATTTTCGATCTCCAATGTGGCATTGAATCCAAATTCATTTCCAGGAGCAAACAACGATTTGAGTTCTTCGGCTGTTTGGACTGTGTTAATCTTTTTGTCCTTCACATTCAGGTTTTCCTGGTGAATGGTGCAACTTAGAAGGTTAGTCGAGCTGTTTAAGTAAATACCAAGGAGTTGTTCTCATGGATGAAGCATTCCCTTATTAGGCGTGATACTTGGGTTCGAGTTTTATTGCTGTGTGAAATAGTTTCTCCTTCTTTATTCCCCTCCTACCGGTTGTTAATAATAATAACAAAATAAGGTGTAGATTACACTGACCTCCTTTGAGGTTTTGAGAAAATACAACAAACTCCATAGTTTTGGCATAACTACACAAATCTTCATTTTAATAAGGCTAAAGGGATCATAACTAATTAAATGGTAGAAAGACACAAAGATAAAATATAAATTTCAGTGTAAAAAGATGGCATCATCATTTTCCATTTTTTTTTTTTTTTTGCGTGGATAATTCAGTATCCAGTCCACTGGACTAACTAATCTAAGGGACCAATCCCACTTTCCACTAGCAGGGGACCCAATTAAAGGCGTGCAAAACTCCATATTGACTGCCCCAAGAAATTATTTGCATCTAAGAAGTTTTGAACTTAAAACCTTAGAGGGAGCACACCCCACGCCCCAAGCCTTAACCATCAAGCTAACCCCTTGAGATTATTTTTCCATCCATATGACTAATGAATTACTAATAAAAATAGGACTAAATGCTATTTGAATTATAACTTTAAGGGAGTAATTACGCCAAACTTGTGGAGTGTACTGTATTTTCTCCAAACTTCATGAGAGGTTAGTGTAATTTACCCTAAAATAAATAAATAAAGTAACAATAATGACTTGCCTTCTTCACATAATCTGCCACAGTTGAACTAACTATTTCTTGTATGGCAAATTTTGTGACGCGCTCTTCGCCAAGGACCTGTAACAAAAAGCTCTTTGGAACCTGCAAAGATTTCCAGATCAGCCATCTTCAAGAAATAATACAGGTTTGCTCATAATTATTAGTAGTATTTCACTTGACAAAAGATACGAAAGGTAAGCAATATGTTCTTGTCTTGATGCTTCCCAGTTGATTTGTTTTTTCAAAACTTGAAATCTATCATGCAAATACAGTACCCAAAGGAATGGCAGTGTCCCAACATGACATGAAGAAACAGCTACCTCAGATTCATGACAACTGAGATTATATTCCTGTGAGAGCATGCATGTATGATATATACACCGTGCGCATCCTAGGCATCATATGTTAAATTCAACTACTATTATTTGGTAGAACATGAAAAACTATGCAATCCAACATATAAAAAATGTCTGGTTTATCAAGAAAAGTGCACCTATTTTTTTTATTTTTTTATTTTTTCCTGCAGATTTTAATGATCTATGAAAGTATAGGAAAATCATGTCCTCATAGATTAACTAATAAGAGATGATATTATATAAAAAATAATATACAAAAAAAGTCTTATATTGAGTAAAGCCTGCAGTAACTGAGGAAAGTATTTTATCTGTCTAGGATAAGATTTAATTTATATGTTATTCATAATTGGATATGTATGCAGACTGTATCCCTGCAATCCAGCAGAATAAAAATAATAAAAAGAAAAAGGCTTCTTTTTTATCAGTTGAAGAGTTTTCTTCTTCTTTTTTAGGAAATCAAGGAATGACCACATAACTTAAATTTGAAAATAAAATAAATGGAAGATGTCGTAGATTCTCCATATAAACACAAGTTGTGTTTTCCAAATGCCATGTAAATTGGTGAAGTCAATTCCATGTTCACAATTATAGAAGCCAGATTTTTTTGGTTATAAGATTTCTTAAGAGTTCAATCACTTGCAGTTAACCAATATTGAACGTGGAATGGAAGGTATAATTCATGAATCGAGGCAGACAAACAATCAGTTCATAACTGAATAGGAACTGAAATCCAACAGTAAAAAGAGACGTAAAGGCAGTTACTTACCTTTGAAGTTTTTCCTGGAGTAGCATCCGTGCATATAAAAAACGTAATAGGATTAGAATTCCTGGATTAATAAGTTCCTGGAGTTTTTAAAATTAAGATGCAGGTAATTGAAAGTAATGAACAGGCGAGGCATGATATATATCTACCAGTATATCATATTCACAGCCTTAATAGGATAAAAAAAATTGGTGATGGTAACGTAGACAAACAATCCAACAGATGATCCTAAGCATAAAGATGCTTTCAATTCAGCACACCATGCTTTTGTGATCACTGGACATGCTTTCAATTAAGCTTATGATTTTGCAGAGAAAAAACTATCTGCAAAATCCAGCTCAAGTTTTATGGAATCGTACATGCCAATTTTTTATTTTGTATATTTTTTAATGTATGAAAATTTATTAATAGAGAGTCCACACCAAGGGGGGTGCAACCCTATACAAAAAAAGATCTATAACAACTATACATCAAAAACCTATTCAAAGGTCTCTACAATATTCAAAAATTAGTTCAAAGATGGATTAACCATCCTCGAAACCCAGAGCTATACAAAGAAGATAACAATTTGCTCTTTAACTCAGAATAGAAACTTCTTTGTCAATTATTGCTTCGCCCCAAACAATCCACGTTAACACCAACAGGACCTAATACCAACCAAGCCTTCTTCCTCCTCCCCACATGAGCTCTCTGCAATGCAAAAAACAAAAGCTCCTTTACCTCCTTGGGGAACACCCACACTACACCAAACATAACAAGGAACAACGACATAACTCTCATGCTACCTTGCAATCAATAAGATGATGGTTTACAATTTACTCGTCATGCTTACATATGCAACACCAATTAAGATGAACTTGCCTTCTTTTAATAAGGATCTTCCCATGTGAAGCACACCCAAAAAAGAAAGCCACTTTTGATTTCCAGGGGAAGGGAGACTCCCTAAAAGCAAGAATGCCATTAAAAAAAAAAAACTTCGCACTAAACTGACCAGAAGAGGATATCAACCATTGTATCAAATCACCACTATCACCAACATGGGTCAAATAAAGACACCCAAAAGATTCGACAACTCCACCATTTCTTATTTCCCAATGTCCCGTGGATTTCCATTCTTCACTGAAGGTATAGTCCAATTCTTTCTCTTGTGAAACTTATTGTTAATATATATCACACATTTTGTATTGTAAACCATGTTTAATTGTAATTTGTCATGTATGAAAATGATCACCTCTCAAGGATTTGTAAACACCTCAATATATATAATATACATGTAAATTTATATACACTAGATTGAAAAATCCAAGCAAAAGATAAGTGAGACATAATTCTCAGTTAAGTCTACTAAATTGACTTTGTGGAGAGCCACATGTAAGGATGTAATTAACTCTAATTTGTAGCTATCACGTAAAGACGTAATAAACTTTAAAACTACTCTATGTTTTCACTTATTTTTATTTCTAAATAAAAGAAACTAAGTGCAACAAAATGGTTAGATTATTAAAGGTTGGTCACAATACAAACAAGACATACTAATATGTATATATACATCACTTGTAAGTCAACAATACACGCGGTATTGGTATAACCACTGGAATTCATATCAGTTACTTTTGGACAGCAATTTGAAAATATTTATCTCACTTGTGTGAGAGCTATAAATGTCTTTTGCTCTTACTAGCTAGAAAAATATTTCAGAAGTTCCAAACGGCTAGTATAATTCTAATATAGTTAATAATGTAATAGTAATTTGAAGAAGCATCATTATTGATTTCACAGTTGAAAACATCTAAAGTGAAGGATAGTTAGGGTTTCAGATCGCTCAGTCCTTGCATGCAAGCTCACATAGACACAAAAGAAAAAGAGGATTGATTTCATTGGTCATATTTATAAGTTGGTCATAAATGCCAGTTTTTCTGTATTCTTTATTGAAATAGAAAGAAACATATAGCATCCACATTGATTACCAAAAATAGAAACTTAAGGCTATTTTTGGACTGCAGATTTGGCTTGGAATTTGGAAAGGGAAAGGACTGATGAGACATTTCCCTCATCTTTGCTTTCCCTCTCCAAATCCATGATCCAAAAACAGTCTTAAGCAAGGTGAGAACTCAACACAGGCAAGAAATTACATGACATACGTGAAATTACACTACAAACACATATTTTTGCCGATTAAAAAAAAATTTACATGACATAGATGTATTACCTCCCTTTTGTCTTCGAAATCCTGGAATTGGAGGTGCTGAACGAGCCAAATCTGTCAAAACCTGGTCAAAAACTTTTTGTGTTTCGTTCCCAGTCAAGTCCACCCTTAGCTGTTGGCATCACTTTTTAATATCAGCAAATAGAGATTTTATTAAATAAAATGAAAATGAGATACAAAAGGAACAAAGAGGCCGAAATCCACCCTTAGTAGATGACATCACGAGTACTTCCAAATATTACAAAAATCCCCAAAGCAAACCAGGACATAGATAAAGAAAAAAACTGATCCATTGACGGAAAGGAAGTTTGTCATGAACAATTCCAAGTTTATCTGTGACTTTCCAAACAGAAAATGTATCTCCTTTGGTAAAATTAATCTAAGGAGTCCCCACGGCTTTTTTCTTCATCATCTAAAGATATGATTTCGACTAAACAGTACTATATTGTGGAGGTAACTACACTTCTAACAAAAATGTTGGTTTATTCCCAAGAAAACCTTAATTTTTAAAATCTCATTAGGGAAGGTTGAAAGGGGTTCTATTATATATCTTGAAATGATGAAAGTTAAGGTTCAAGTTTCATTATCTCAGCAAGATATTTTCCCTTTGCAATCTAAAGGTATATGTCATGTCAAGATAATGTCAAGATCTGAACTTATTGGATGCAATCTTTTGAAGCAAACAAAGAATGACTATCGTAAAGTTTATTTGGCAAAGTTTTTTCCATGTTGATTTTAGTATTGCCCAAGTTATTCTGGCAAAACTTGGGCAGCGCCATTTCAAAATAATTTTAAACACTTTTAAACACTTTTGAAATATTTGTCACCAATATGAGCTTAATTAATAATTTAAGAATATTTTAATTTCCTACAGTTTATGTTCTCTTTCCTAATATCTTACACAAGAAGTGTCAAAAATGATTTAAAAAATGTATTTCTTTGAGGAAATATCAAACTCTACAGGTTTTAACCAACAGACTCTTTACATTGCAACTTTATGATATTTCCTAAAACAAGAAGCATTGCATTTTGTAAGCTTCCTTTTTTTCTTATTTTTTTGGCATGACATATCAGAAGGTAGACTGTAAGAAACAAGCCTTCATACCGATACTACTGTTTTTAACTCCAGCCAAGATGAAATCCCATTTTCTCTTATCTTGACCTTTTCTTTTTGGAAATCCAAACATGATAATCCATTTATTCTATTTCTTTGCGATTATCAGCTTCTCTTTGGAAAAATAAAAAAATGTTCTTTCTCAGATGGTTTTCTCTGATTCTCACCAAGGCCTTATGGCTACATTTTAAAGTCATAATAGACATGAACTTGGGCAAAATGGGGTTCAAATTAAAGAAGAGTTCATTTAGCTACTCTTTCAAAAAATTACAATTCACATTGTCTTTGAGATAAGATACTTCCCATTTTCAAGTCAACTTTCCACAGAAAATAATCAAGATATTAAGACTTCACACAGAACATTGTTTTAGACTTGAAAGGATGCCCTTCAAAAAAAAAATCCTAGATTTTTCCTTCGATCATGCTCCTAACTCCTACGGAATAATACAAGAATGGCTTCTTGTATTCAAAATCACTCTATACTTGTATCTCCTTTCCAAATATAAGAAGCTTTCACTATGCATTTTTTAAGTGGGGTTTATTTTACGTGTTTCCTTTAACCATAAGAAAACTTTAGTAAAAAAACCTGGTTTTGACACCAATTTCCACATGTTTCTGAACCTTTTTTAAGTGTATATCTGTATCTTACTCAAAAAAGGACAGCGCACAACATTGGAGTACACCCTTGTGTAATGCAACTTAAAAGTGAATTCATTGTTTCATTACTTTTTCACAATTCTTCCTCAAATGAAGTTGAGAATACATAATAAACATTATATTCAAAAGTCAGACATGTACCTGAGTCCCCATGTCTACATTATGGGAGATGCTATTATCCAAAACTGTGACAACGTTCGAAGGTGGCAAGTCTGTTTATGCGGATTGTAATATATCACAAAAGGACTGATTTATCAAGCTGAGGTTGGTAGAAAATTAAGTTTTTGAATGCTCAATACTGCATGAGTTTGGCTGACAAACACTAAACGCTGACCTTTACAACCAGAATGTCTATTTTGCAATGCACCATACTTGGTTCAAACACCAACTATCCACAATTTATTACTAGCAATGCACTGTTGATGAAAACAAGTAAGCAAGACAAGTCAAGTGAGTAAACTTACTTGTATCTTATCATCCTCTCGATACTCCACTAATATTTTGACATTTTTTATGGTTATTGCATTGTCCTTTGGATCAGTAGAGACTTCCAAGCCTACAATACCAATGTAAAAGGGTACTTCATCCTGACACTAAATACAGTTCATCACGTATGAGAAAACAGCACATACTTGTAACTTCAAGTTAAGATTACCTGAACCAACTGCAGATATTGGCTTTGACAAACATCTAAGACCTTCTCTAGAGGAGCTATGGAGGCTTAATTGCCTAAAAAGAGAGAGTACATAAGCGCAATGCTAGCAGATTAATATCAACACTAACAGAATCAATTGCAGCACTTGAAAAGTTTGATTTAAGACAATAGGATTGACAGCAGCATGTGGAGACCAGGCAAAGTAAAATTCAGAGCAAGCAATACATTAAACAACTTTTTAAAAAATTGACAAATTTTTCTTGAAGGCCTGTTCCAAAAATAATCAGCATATCACTAGAATTATTAGTTCTAATAACTGCTTGAGTATTGTTGTAAATAGTAGAACTCGCTCGAAATATTAGTTTTTATAATTGCTTGAATTACTGCTGTAATATGGTAAAACAGGTTCACACCACGGCTAGCCAACCACCCAGAAACCTTTTATGGAGTTGCAACTTTTCATCTTCTGTCATTCCTCTCATCTTTTAAATGGGTGATTCTGATTCATGTCATTGAGGAATACTGAATGCTATTCTACAATATCTGAACCTATGTTACCTGGTACATTCTACATACTGGGAACATACTACGCCACATTCTCTAAAATGTGGTATGAATAGGGATAGACATTTATAGATTACACTAAAAGAATTTAAAATACTTCTGCATCAATTTTCTTGTAAAAATTGGACATCCAATAAAATGTAAGGGTTTTTTTTTTCCCCAAAGTTACTTATTAACCAACACATTTCTATGAGCATTATGATATTTTTGACGTTTTGTCCTGTCAAAACTTCGCTCAGCTTATATTTTAGTCTAAGAAAACCTTTAGGAGATATATTGGAAATACTTTTGGGATCGCTTTGGATTGCTACTTACCGTTTTGGAACAGAAGTGTATCATGTTTCAGAACTTGTGTTCCAAAACGTAATTTGCTAGGGTATTAGTTTATTTTTTTTCCGATAATGCTGATCTGAACTATATACAAGAGTCCTATGGAAATAGGAGGGATTCCACAATCTGTCCATCATCAGAGTTTTCTTTCTGTTTTATTAGAAAGAAAATGAGAATATTTTTAATAAGGAATTGGGGGTGGGGAGAATCAAAGCAAGGACAAGAAGGCACCCTTCATGCAGACTTAACAAAGAAAGGGAGGGAGGGAAAAAAAAAAAAAGGCTGATTGCATATCTAGAATAAAGTTAAAAGCCCCAAAGAAAGTAGCCAAAGAAGGCAAGAAATGTCCTCGAAAGTGCCGAGGCATTTAAGACTATTTTCTAGCTGAAGAAACTTATATATCAAACTGAGTGTGCTCATCTTATGCTAATGACTTCACTGGCATCATATTTTAGCTAGAGAAGAGTCATTTGACTATATATATTTGATAAGCATGCTCAGTTTGCAATATTTAAAGATCCAATACTAGAAATAAGGAGAGAACATCATATCAAAGGAAGGACATCTTCTCAAACAAATAGAAGATAGTAGTGTACCTCCCACATATATTGTGCTTTACAGTACATAAATCGATGCTTGTTGCATTATGATTAGTTTGAACATGCTTGCAAAGACTCCTAATGGTGAACTTCTGTGAGAAAAAAAAGTGTGAAAATCAAACAAGGAACCACTGCGAAAAACTCAACGTTCAGTGAATTGGAGAACAAGTATATCACAATCAATTACAAGAAAAAACAAAATAAATTAACACTCCAACACCAGAATTCCATCTATTCTTTAAAATACACAAGTTACTAACTGCAAGTAAGTTTCAAAAAAGGCTCTCAGACCATAGTAGTATCTCTACCAAGAACAAATTAACAAGCTAATAATTAGCCTCCATAATGTAAAACACGTAATGACTAAATATTTAAGAACCAGATTGTTCAGTACAACATCCGAATTAATAGTATTCCTCATTCTTTATTTATACCTTTAAAACAATTTCCATTTCATAGCCTACTATTGCTTTAAAAAATGGAATATCAAATTTTATTACTATTGGTCTTTGGTACAAGTGTGTGCGACATGCTTAGGTGCATTTCAATTTACTTCTGTACTCCTTCAAAATTACATTAATTTCACTTGCATGAAAAACACCGCTGTAGTATGGTCCAGCTAATTCACATTCTACTTGTCATCAAGGTTGGATTTCTAGACTGGTGACAACAAAGTTCAAGAATGAGTTTCTACAAATAATGTCAAACATCAGTTTTGTACCCAGTCCCTCTCCAAGCACCCACATTAGTGGAGGGTAATGCAATTTCTATCATCTTTTCAGCAGATCAGCCCACTCAGAATTGTGCTTCTTGATAAGGTCAGCAAGGTATTCATTTTCAGAAATCATAAGTCATAGACACATGCAAGTTCCATTATGACAAAAAAAAGAAGCGATCTCTAACATGAAACCTGAAACTCTAAATGGTTATGACCTAATTATATTTGTATTGGATTTGTGGAGCGAAACAAAAAAGAGAAGGGATCTGTACGCAAATTCAAGATATAAACAAAACCTTAAAAAAGGGAACAATTTTTCCTTGTCCATCACCATTTGTTAGTAAAAATTCGGTCAACAGATGATTTAACAAAAATGGGTGAGGAAAATAAAATCTGACGAGAAAATGGGAAAATTTCTTACTTGTGGAAATCATTTGCCTCCTTTGTTTTATAGATTCCTCACCATTTCTTATGATAATCTATTCTATTCTATAAAGTGTACCATTAGTCAAATTTTTTATTTTCTCAAAAATGCCCTTCCTACCCAGTAAATATCACATCCAATAATTTTTTTCCTTCATCAAGTGGTCCAAAAATTGGTAATTAGTCTTCCTCAAATTATCAGACTATCCAAAAATTTGAGTGTTACTACATAAACAAAGGAAAAAAAACATAAGAAAAAGAACTGTTTTCCTTTTAATTTTCCCATCCATTTCACAGCCCCAAACAGACACTATATATATATTTGCAGTGCTTCAATAGATTCAAAAGAGACCAGAGTTGTAAGAAATGTTTAGCATGAATGACTAAACACATTGAAGACATTGAGTTTTAGGTATGGAATGTAAGAAAGGTTATTGCTTGCTTACAGTGGAGCATTGAAACTGAGACACCATCGTGATGGTCGCCATGCTTTCTTCTTGGAAACAAACAAGAGAGAGTGAATTTAGGGTCTCAATTCTCAAATCCTCTCAGGCACTGACAGAGCTCTCTCTCTATTCACTTTTTGGGTAATTCTAGCAAACAAGTCTGGGCTTTTTGGTAATTGAAATCAAAGATAAAGGGGCATTTCCGTCAGGAGAGTTTGGCACAGTGACGACGTGTTCGTCTTTGTATGGAAAGGCTCACCGTAACACTCTGTGGAACCATGACTCATGAAGCTTATATCTCAACATCATCAGAGAGAGAGAGAGAGAGAGGGAGAAGACTGAAAGAGGATATGGAAGTAGCCTTTAAGACCCTCTTCTTGGGTTTTAACTCTAAGGTAAGAAGATGTTCTTCAACTTTCTTTTCTTTTCTTTTCTTTTCTTTTCTTTTCAATCCTTTTTTGCTTGAATACCCTTCTGAAAATCTCAACTTGCTTGTCAATTATGCTTTTACATTTTACATAATTTTGGGATACAAGTGTATGTGTGCCCTTAAATCTTTTGATGTGATGTAGTATGTGCCTCTATCTGTGATTGGTGTCAATAATATTCTTCCTATGTGGTAGAAGTAGAACTACCAGTGCCTTTTGAGGATTCTTGGTTTTTCCCTTTCACAATTTCTTGTATAGTTGGTGTACACATTTGAAGAGTCAGAAAATTTATTCAGATGGAACAACCAAATAAATGTATTATATATTGTGTGTGTATATATATATATATATTAGTAGTTGGCGCACACGATACTTGTGTAATTTAAATAAATAAAAATAAAATAAAATATTTATCATATTATGTGTTTATCAAGTGATAAGAATCTTCTTCATTTGATAAACTCTAAGGTTCAAGTCTCTTCTTCCTCTCATCTATCTATTTTATTTATTTATTTTTTTAAAATCTAAACATATAAATCTATAAGATGAATGGGTCAAACTATTGAAATGAGACTTACAATGAGATTTTGAAACAATCTTGATCTAAAATTCAACAAACAAATATAATGCGAAGCATTAGTCTCATGTGAACTTAAAAACCACATAAAAATGTGAGATTTTGAGATGCTGGAGAGCAAACTCCATTTTACTTCCTCAGGTTTCTTTCTTCCCTAACAAACATTACCAAAATTGCACTAAAATCAGCACCATAACAAAAACAAACAATAAATAAAAACAAATACATGATTTAAAATATGAGTGAAGTTTTAGGGACATTTTGAGACCTTACGCATTTGTTTTACCTTGGGCTAAAATGGAAGGATGAGGTGCTTAAAAGGGTTTGTGTCTCTTTCTTTAACCTTACTCTCTTCTCTCTTTATAAAACATCACCCAAAAAAATACATTAGTTTTGTAATGCAATACACTCTCCTGGCCATAAAATCTAGAGAGCACTCATTATCATCATTGTGCAAATGATGTGGCTTTTTCATACATGAATATACATCTGCTTTTGTATGAACATATGTTAATGTATGCTTTATCCAACACTCACATGGTGCTTCTGGGCGTTTTCAGCATTCTTATCATTTCCTTGGACTTGCTGATAGAAAGTTCTTTACTTGATGCAGTTGATTTTATATTTCTGTTACTGCCTTATGGTTGCTTCTTGTAATTAACCAGTGGGACCATGAAACAATTTTAGATTTATACTCGTAGGCTTTCTTTAATAACTAGTATTTGTTTACGAGGACTGACAAACTTTACTCATCATTTTCATGCAGATAATAAGGCCCAAGCAAAATGTAGATGTCCTCATTCCAAATCTTTCTTCAAAAAGAGAAAGCTTCCCCCTTCAGATGAGATACAATGCCATAAAATTTCGTGAAAGGTGCTACTAGTTTATGAACTATGACTACTGAGTATTCAGTTAATATTTACGTTCAAAATCTTGAAAATATGGATTTCACTTCAGATGAGATAAAACACTGCCCTAGTTCTTGTGAAATTTCATCATATTTTGAGTCTGACCACCTAATACTAAGCTAACTGGCTAAGGAAACAGAAAATTTCTTTGCAAAATTAATGTATAATATTTAATAGAGTTTGAGAAAATAACCATCCAAGTATGTTGGTATCTGTTTTTTTATTTATTTTTTTCCCCCCAAATAAGTCACATCCCACTCTACCAAAGTTTACTGTGTTAAAATTTGCTAGGGTTTTGACTGAACATGAGTGGGGATAATATGTTGGCTTTAAGGTGAATAGTGGAATGACTTGGTTGCCTAATTGATTTGGTTTGGCCTAAAACAAGTTCTTTGTGTCACTGGTGTTTGTGGATTTGAAGCCATCCAATGATATATTTGTTTTTGTTTATGAATTAAAAGTATATGAATGAGACACAACCATTTAGTTAATCTTAATCTATTCCTTTCCATTACCCTTCTATAACCGTAATATGGTCTCATCTTTAATACATCGGTAGCAAAGTTAGTACAAATAAACCGTCTCAATTCCATGGTAATCATAAATTTTAGCTCCTTTTAGATTTCCTTCTTATTAATGACAACTCTAGCATTTTCATCATATTGTATGATCAACTGTTGTCACGTTTTATTTCTTTACAAGTTACAGCTGTGACCACTTTTGACAGAGGCATATTTGGTACTACTTTACACGCCGCAACAATAACATTTCCAACACTAACATATTGGCTATTGGGGTAGCTCTCCTCTGATTTGAATACACGTCAGTGCCATTACTAGAAATAATATATAGTGCTGGACCTGTTGGTGTTTATCCAGCAGTTTGATTGTTTTTGAGCTTTTCTGTGCTTGGGTTAAAATTGTTTATTTGCTTGGTTGATATTAAAAATGAAAATATTGTTATCTTTCAAAAAAAAAAAAAAAAAATGCAGAGAACGTTTGCAAATGCAAACAAAAAGACCCAAACAAAGCAATATGACCACAAAAAAAAAAAAAACCGTCATTTTTTTGAATTTTCCTGGAATTACCCCTGTAATATTTGCATCAGTCATTCAATTTTTCCCTATCAAATATGAGGTTATGGGTTTGAACCTGAGGGCAGCCACTTTGTGCAAATAATGCCAAAGTTTAGGTCTGTACCTATTCTGCCCCTCTTAGACCCCATCCAATGGGGACTAAACTGGGTGTACTTTTTACTTTTTTGACATTCATTTTTGCATGTGGAATTGATTGATCTTTTTGATGTATATAAACATTCAGTTTTGCATTTGGAGTTGATTGATCTTTTTGATGTATATATTGAACTCTCCAACCTCTTTACTTCCACAGCCTTTTCATATTGGTCCATTCAATGCCTTTTCATATTAATTTCAGAACTATCTGTGTCTTGCAGGGCATGCACCAAAAATTTGCTTGCTGTTTGTGCTGTGTCATCTGGTGCAAAGACAAGTCATTCTCTCCCAATTCTTGTTCATTCCTGTTCTTAACTTTCTTATTGCTATTGCTGAATGCCTTTTTTTAATGGTTACCACTAAAATTAGGTGTAGAAGATAATGAAGTTTTGTCTTCTCAGTTGCAAGACTTCTCAGTTGCTGCAAGTGGTACTAGCAAGGCCAGTGAACTAAAGGTAAGGGAATTTTTGTTTGGGAAAGTAAAAATAGCTTGTTTTCTGAGAATATGCATAAAGAACATGACAAATTATAATTGAAATTCGAAGCAATAATGTTACGGGACAATGACATGTAATCAAGTTGTCTTTTGCTATGACTAAAGACAAATGAATAACATGTTAAGTGGTTTATATTATATTTTATAAATGGTTAGCCTTCTTTTAGTTGTGAGATGAGTTCTATACAAGTTCCATGGCAGATAAGCGTGGAGGTATCGGGCACTAAAACTCAATCAATTTTTGATGATGTGTTCTCCAAAATGGTTGCTGATGCTCAGCCAATTCCAGGCTTTCGAAGATTAAAAGGAGGTGAGATTTTAAAAAATCGATACATTTTCCTGAAACTAATGATGATGTCTTTAAAAGGTCATTATTAAGCCGATCAAGTGGCTTCGAAAATCACATTCCTAAGTCAGGTCTTCAGTCTTCTTTGCTTTAAATTCTCTTTCTTTTATTCTTTCCTTTCTTCTGTCAACTATTGGCTAACATATTTTCTGATTTCTTTTGTTGGAATTTGTTGTTGCCAATTAACAACTTGGTGCTAGCAGGAAAAACACCTGATGTAAGCTCTTAACTCCTAATGTTAAATTGCATTCCATTTGTTCAAGTATTGTAACATTTGTAACCATGTCCGATAACAGTTAGTATAATTCAAGTTATCACTTTGACAAGGTAGATGTGATTTGCACCCCATAGCTAAAGAAACTTGGGGAGGTTTATGTAGATATTCTGAGGGTGCATATGTTGATATTCTGATTATGCCTGTTATTTAGCCAATCACTGCGATTGGCTGACCTTCAAGTAGAGCCATTATCTGAAGTTTATTTTTGTGCATTGGCAATTTGGCAAGAAGCTGAGAAAGTGACAAAGTTCCTTCTATTTTTATAATCCTTTCTCCCTCCTAGTTGACAAAAATTGTTAGATGCAAATTCCCGAAACATATTTCACTTCATATGCAAATTTCTATGGCTGCACCTTCCAACCTCCTACCACCCGAATCCCCAAAAAATGAATTTCGAGAGAGAGAGAGAGAGAGAGAATTTCAGCCATTCTTGTATGAAATTTATAGACATATATATAGCTCTTCTTGTTTGGTCATCTTTTTCTTTTCTTTTTATTTATTGCTTCTGGCAGATACCTACAGAGATCCTCTTACAAGTTCTTGGACCTTCCAAAGTTTACAAGCAAGTGATCACGAAAGTAATTAATTCTACCATAGCTGAATATGTAGAAAAGGTATGTATATTACTCTTTACCCCTATTATGTTTACAGTCGTGGAAAATGCTTGGCTTTTTGTTTATTTTATGTATTAGCATTTTTTATTTATTTAAAAAATAAAAAATAAAAAAAAAATTGGGGGTCTTTTTGCCATGCTCAATAGGAAATAATAGGTGACCTCCTTCAATTGGTTTTGTTTTCATGCGATTGATGGGTTTTCAACATCAGCAAAATATTTTTTAATTTAAAAAGACAGTTTGATTCTCAATTCAGCTGTTTTGAAATCTTAATAGATTAGAGCTTTCTAGTATTTGGATGTCTTTTAGTTTTGGAAATGTTGGATTTAACACCTCAAACCATAACAACAAAGTTATTCAATTCCATTACCAAGTTTGTCATGTGATACAAAAATTGTAGGTATACGATTTATGACCTTGTTGAACAGGAGTATCAAAAAAAAAATATATGGTTTAGAAACCAGTATTTATACTAATATAGTAATATGCAATTGGTAACATATTGGATTAATTGTGCATCTATTTTGCAAGTGCATATATTCGATGTTCTGATTGGACATCTTTCATTGTGCACTAGTACTTTGTTAATTACAAAGGAATTGGTAAGTTCCTTCTGCAATAAAAACCTTTCATATGAAAGGTAAAAACTTCCATGGACCGAATAGTTAGGATCTTACATTCATTTTAGTAAGTAGTAATGCAACATGATATTTTGATATGTTGTAACAAATTAGAAGTTAGCAATTTTATAGTAGATAACATCACTAATGATCAGCATGCTCTATGTAGTTCAGTTTGCTGGACATTTTTATGAAAGCGTAACCAAAGATTATAGAGAAAGGTAAAGTGAGCGTAGGACCATGAGTGTGGAGTCCCCGGATTGGATGGACTGGGAGGTTGTTTGGTAGTACTCCAAACACAATAAGCTGGCTGTTGGGACTATGAATACAGTTTTATGGCTTCTTCGATGAACAGGGAAACCTAATCTTATGGCTTCTGTGCTGAACTGGGAAGTTCCGTTCGAGGTGACCTCTTAATGATGAACCTTGTCCCTCTTATCAAATAAGGGAAGAAGAGGTGGATTGAACATTATCCCCCTTGTCAAACTAGAAAAGCATATCTAAAACTGGAAAAGAACTCAGTACTATAAATGAGAATCAACCCCAAAGAGGGCACTAACTTAAGGATAAGAGTGCCCTCCAGTAGATCATCACCGGTCAACCAATGTTCAAGACGTTTTGGCTTTTAGGTGTTCAGGCATTTAGGAAGGGTTATTTCTTGCTGGAATGACATCGTTGTTAGTGTATGGATTTTTTCCCGTACAAGATGGTGTTGTTTGTAGGAAACAATGATCAATAGAAAGAATCATCAACCAAAGAGATCCAGGAATTCCCCAAACAAAAGATGAGGAAAGAGGGCCTTCAAGCCAAACAGAGCTGTGCTTCCATCTCAGAAGAAGGACCAGAAGCCATTAGATTTGGGGTCCGGTGTGTTTCATGCTACTAGAGAACAAGGAGAAGAACCATAGTCTAATCTTGAAAACTCCTACCCATCTTGGAGGGAGAACTAAGCAATCCTAGACTCATTGAAGAAATTGGAGGAGTGGATTGAACGGAGAGACGAGATGATAGATGGTCTCGACTCTTGAGGAAAAATTCAAAGGTTGCAGTAGCAACTCGAGAAGTAAAGGGCCCTCGAGATCAGCAGAACCAAAGAAAGATGATGGAAATTGGAGAGAAGCCAACTAAGATCCTATAAGAGCTCAAAATCACCCAAGGAGAGTAGCAAGAGCTAGCCAAACAATGGACCATAAACGGAAGAGCATGCTGCCAAAACCCACAACAAATCAGGCAGCACTTGCCCGACCGACAAAAATCCGGCCAAGCCAAAGAAGTAATGCACTAAGAATGTGGACACTAACCTGAAAAGGTCAAGGGTAGAGAAAGACTATTTGAGGAGGTAGTTAGACCACAAAGAACAGGAATGGGAAGAACTTGATGTGAAGATTACTCAAGAAAGTGCCAGAAAGGCATTTGAGCAAATATATGCTTCCCCACTTTCTAGGAAAATAAATGATTCGTCCCCACCAAAATCCACAATGTATGATGGAAGGATCGATCCACCGAGTCACGTCAGCCACTACAGACAAGCAATAACACTATAGAGTGGGAATGATGCACTTATGTGCTAGATGTTTCCCTTTAGTTTGGGAGAAGTGACCCTAAGCTGGTTCTACGCATTCATGTCATGACCATATACAACTGCGAATAACTATCCGCTGATGAGCTTCAATTTCTTCCACTCTCGCCACTAATTCTATTGAAAGTTAAGTCACAGCTGAAATTGAATGAACTAATATTCAATTTATTTGACTTCTTTCAGTGGTTTGGTGCACTCTTTTGGTAAGGGTAGCTCCATACCGTAATACCTCTAAAGAGATACAGGACACTGCTTTAAAAAAAGGTTCACTTTTTTTTTCATCACCTATAGTTGACATCCCAAGAAAGTTGATGCTCTTAATGAAGTCAGAATCAAATAGCTTAAGGGAATACGCCAAGAGATACTATGAAGTGTACAATTGAACACTGCAATGAGCAGTTGGTTGTAGACTCATAGCATCATTTAATCTCGACCTTTCATCCCAGAGTAAACTACCCTAATCCCTTACAAAGCGGGTGGTTGTTAGCATCCTCGATCTCATGTAGAGAATCGAGTAGCATGCAAGTAGAGCAACGACCTACGAAGTATCCTTCCTTCACCCTATAACGCGATTTGGTATCCTTCCTTTGAGAGAGCATCTAATATTTTGCTTGGACACCATATGAAATGCCTGGGATGGATCCCAAAGTCATTTTTCCGAAGTTGAACATGGATCCCAAGCATAAATATGTTATTTAGAAGAGAACGGGGTCGATACACACAAAAGCGGTCAATGAGGAGGTGAAACAGCTTGTAGAAGTGGACACCATCCAGTAAGCTTATTACCCAAAGTGGTTGTCTAACGTTGTTGTCAAAAAGAAAAATGGGAAGTGGAGAATCTGTGTAGATTTCACTAGTCTCATCAAAGCATTTATTTACAGCAATGATATTCCAAGAAATGATTGACAAGACAATAGAAGTCTACAATGATGACGTGGTGGTCGAAAGCAAACAAGTGGCCAGCCACCTAGCTGATTATAAGAACACTTCTGACATTCTCGGAGCCTTCACATTAGATTGAATGCCTCAAAAAGTGCGCTTTTGGGGTTGGTTCAGTGAAGTTCTTAGGTTATTTGGTTACTCGCAAAGAGATAGAGGCAAACCCCAATCAGATAACAACAGTTCAAAGCATCCAAAGCCAAAAGACGGGCAAGGAAGTCCAAAATGGGGGCCACATTGAACAAGTTCATATTTATCCTATTCTCACTTTGTTTCCTCTAGGTGTTAAAAAGGAAAACTATAATTTTAAATGTTAGTAGAAACTCAAACTAGTGTCAAAATTAGCTATATAAGATTTGCATTCTGTTAATTAACAATTTCCCTTTTCTTGCAATAAATTCCCCCTTGAAAGTGAAGGGTTGCAACTTATTTTTTCTCTTACTTTTTCTTTCTTTTGGGTTGCTGACTTTCTGGGCACTAGGTTCATCATCCATTCTCTGTCATACCGTTCTTCTAGGATCAGAACATAGCAAGTTACATTGCATTTGCATTTGTAATGGTAGATTATCCAACACCATCATGACCCATCTCCATATTCCACTTTTTGGTTGCATAATGTGGAGCTTGAATGTTGACTCTGATTTTGTGTGTGTCGGCAAAATGTTGCAGGAAGGTTTGACTGTAAGTAAAGACTTGAGAGTTGAGCAGAGCTTTGAAGATCTTGAAGCCATGTTTGAACCTGGTGATCAGTTCAGCTTTGATGTTGTTGTTAAGCTTCAAGAATTGAACTGAATAATTACTCAACCTTGATTATCATATATTTGAATTATGTTCAATTTGAGAAATGGTCACTTTGTATTGGATTAGGACATTTTTGGTAATGGCACAATGGTTCAAACAATTGATGCAATAGGGAGGAATTCACATATTTTTGCCCTTGATAAGTAAAAAAATAAATTAAAAATGAGCATGATAACAAAAAAGTACCATACAAAAATTTGGCAATTATATCTAGTATTCAAGTGAGAAGATATTGAATATGGTGCTTGGGTTGCATTGGGGAATAACGTGATATGGGACTTTAAGAACATCTAATGTTGGGAGCTTTTTGTTACACAACAAATTAAACTATTTACATTTACTTAAAAATTTAAATTTTTTTAATTTATCTCCTTACAACTTCCATAATCCTAAACATCTCCATCCCTAACCTCACCTTTATGCCCACCATCTTTATTTTATTTTTATTTTTTGGGGGGTGGGGTGATAAGTCATTCTCTCTTCCATATCTTACACCACCACAAACGAGGATGACAACAGATTGAGGAAGGAGCTGGGAGGTGGTTGGGGTTGTGGTAGTGTGGAAGATGACCTTTTGTTGAAACTTTTTATGAGTTCGAGTTTTGTTCGACCAATTAAAATTAAAAACTTGATTTGTTTGGCCATATCTAGTTGAACAATCGGCTTTAGGTAGTTGAACATGTCAAATTGATGAAATTAATCATGTTCAATCTTAGTTGTTTGAACAACCTTAAGATGTCAAGTTACGAAATGCCGAACAATCTTTGTTTGTTCGATGAACCAGAGTCGAACTGATTTTCAACTAAATGTTTTTCATATGGCACTGAACTACATTAGAATCATATAAAACCACACCTAAACAACTTTTAAATAGAATAATATAAAACCACACCTAAACAACTTTTAAACAACAAAATGTTACGTACCATCAATTATTATCTTATGTATATTTTAATAATTATTTTATTTTATTTATTTTTTTGTTTCTTTTACTTATTGTTTGTTGTTATTTATTATAGTTTTATTTTTTTTTATGTTCTTACGGTAGAGATGTTGGGAGTTATAGAAAGGCAATTTGAATGAGAGAAAAAGGAGGTAGTGGTGGTGGTGGTGGAATAGAAACGGTGATGGCATGGTAGGGGAGGGGAAGGAGGAGAGGAAGAGGTTGTTGAAATAAATTTTGTCCCAAGTAATTTTGCTTAAGAGAATATTTGTAATTAAAAATCATAATTTCATTGGTGTAATAAGGGTAATTATGTTTGTACACAACAATTTCTCTCAATTCACACATTTAATGAAATTTTTTCTTAATACAATTTTGTCATAAAATAAAAATAAAACCCTTATATTTTTCTATCCACACCCTAATTCTAAAGCACTACAACCATTCTCCATCACTAGCACCATCTCTCTTCTCCGCCATTTCTTTTTGTCATCTGTTATTCCCTCTACGTGTGACCACCTTCCACTGTGAACTATACACTCCCACAAGACCCTTGGCGTGAACCACCTACTTTTGAGGTTTGACTATGGAAGTCTAGGATAGAAGGGAATGAGATGGGAGTGGTGGTGGTAGTAGCGATGAGTGGAAGAAAAATTAGGTTTTTGAAATTGAAAATGATAGTATTATTAGAATAAAGAGATGTATATTGATAAATTTTGTTTATTTGATGTGTGTACTGAGAAGGTGTTTATTAAGGCTATGTTTGATTCATGGATTTGGTAAGGGATTTGGAAAGGCAAAGGGAAAGGAAAAAGTTAGATGAAATGTGAATGAAATATAACTACAATATTCCACTACATTTCACATACATTTGCCCTTTTCCTTTCCCTTTTCAAATTCTTTCTCAAATTTTATGAACCAAACACAACCTAAGTGTGGGAATTAAGGGGAATTGATGTGTGGAAATAGAATTGCCTGTGTAATAAGAGAAAAGACAACGTTTGAAAGTCCTAAAAAGTATCACATAATTTGAATCACAGTGACATGTTGTATTACATGTCAACTTTGGATTTTTTACAAACTTAACCATAAACTCAACTTTCATGTCACATCTAGGGCTCGCCTTGAGAAGGACCAACAAATGCAATCATCTCGGGTTCCCAAATTTAGGGCCCCCCAACTAGGAAAGTGTCGTGTTGTGTTATTTTATGTTCATGCTTGAATTATCTCAACCGTAACTCAATCTATTTATATGCTATCATATTGTTTTATTTTCGGTTCGTGTATAGCAAGGCTAGGCAAGCATCCATTCCACCTGCCAAAACTGAATGGTGTAGGATCTTCCAGAGGGTATCTGAATGCGCCCGATAGTTCAAACCTCGTTAGTTTTACGAGTGTACAATGTGAAACGAGCAAGAGTCCAAACCTGGCAAATCTATAGAAAATATACTAATCACAAGAAATGCCAAACAATAACTACATCACCAGACTCGAAGTTGCCACCTAATCTTTTGGGAATACTAGAAAACCTATGACTTGTGCCAAAGGCCACTGGCCGTCACAACCAAAGTGTCTCAGCTCAGGAACTTAGATATAAGGGGGGAAGGTCATGAATTGAGCATCCTCACTCACCCGATCAAAGATCAACCTCTACTAATTCATTAATGCTACTTTTACTAGATGAAGCAGGTAAGTATAAACTAAATCACTTACTTTGGAATGTTTTAATCTCATGCTTTTCAAAAAGGGTTTTAAGATATACAACTCAACAGAAAATGAGAGCTCACATGCAGAAGGATCAAATCGTTCAAACTCAAGCGAAATAGCCTCCAATCATTGGGCAAACATAGAGATATCTCAAGTAAGCACATGGCCTCATGGTAGCATGTTAGACATAGTAAAGAAAACATACACAACCGGGATGCAAAGATAAAAGAGGCTTACCTAGTACCCATCAACGCCAGCCAAGTGCAAAAAAAAGGGGTTAGAAAACATAGATGATCTTAGATGCAAGAAACTAATGCAACACACTCATGAGAATCCAACTAAGAACTTGGCTACTAGCATATGGCATATGAATCATCTCAAGACATGGGATTGCACACAAAATCACATAAGAAATGATAAAAGCAATAAGTATAATGAACCAAGTCTTAATGTATGAAAAATGGATGCAAGGCATGGAAATGATGAATAAAGAACTAAAATATGATGCCAAAATATTATGGAAATCCAAAATAAAAGGCATAGAGAAAAGAGAGAAGAGAAAGATGATAACGCATGCATCTAAACTAAAAGAAGCAATCTAGCAAAAAAATAAATAAAATGAAAGCAACTACCAAAAATAGAATCTAAAATGAATGAATTAATTACACTAACAAGGCTACCAAATGAAGATAGAGAAGCTATCAATCAAAAGAAGCTAAGAAACAATGAAAAAAAAAAAGAAGAGCCAAAGTGCATCCCCAATATAAGAATGTGAAGAGAAGCACTAATTCTCTTTAAGCATCCCTAGAAGCTAGACACGATGAATTCATCCTCAATCCTATGAATGATGAGAGGATGAAATCCACCCAAGCCATAGAAGCTTTCTAATGAACGCGATAGATAACCTCAATCTTAATCACCAAAGGATGAGAGAAAGAATAACAAAAAATAAATGAAACACAATCCATCACTCCTATCATAAAAGCAATCATAGGAAAGATATATTGGCTTCCTTGATCATCAAGTGATATGATGTAACGCCCTCAAAATAATAACATTAAACCCATCAAATAAAACATTCATTAACATATGAAATATCCACAATTTTCTATTCATCAGAGTTTTATTACAAAAGTATTACATGTTAACAACAAAAGCAAGATGCCCTACGGGCTTACAGCTTTCCAAGTTAACACTTGGTTACAACAAAAGAGTACTAACTCATTTACACCTTAAGCCCTCGGCTTGAATATACATGTAATACATCAAAAAGGAACTTAAACAACAAAAATCTGTCCGCCTCTAGCCTCCCAAGCTATGACCTTGGAGGTGGCATGCTACCTGTACCTGAAAATGATATTCCCATATAGGGTGAGCCACAGCCCAGTAGAAATACACTAAACCAAATATGAACAATGAATAAGAGATTAGCAGGTTGATAGATGGCCAATACAGATATTTTCCCTTATCACATTCTACGGTTTCATGACATACAAGTCCATATTACAATCCATTTTCCAGTTTTTTTCAATTCTCAATTTACAACCATGGCTCAGAACCTGGCCAAACAACTCATATGAGACAGTAACTCATATCAAACACTTCCCATTTCATAATAGATAAGCATACTAGCTATATCACACAACAACAGATAAGCATACAAGCTATATCATTTCTTCCACAGATATGCATATGAGCACTATCACACTTCCAATGACAAGCATATGAGCTCTGTCAACACAATAATAGATAAGCATATGAGCTCTATCTACGGAGTCCATACCCTATCTCCTCCCAACAACATCCGATTTAGAGGTCCATCCCCTATCTTCCCCTAAACCGCGGAGTACATCCCCTATCTCCTCCAACACAACACAATGCATATAAACAACAATTATACACATCATCACAAAATACATAAATTTAATGTATTCTTTCAATCGTCAATCTCAATGACACATTCCAATGATTAGTTTCAGTTTGCCTAATCATCATGCATTGTCTACAACAATCAAGACTATCCTCCACCGATAGCCCAAAGCAGTTATTTCTAAACAGAAAATAAATGCGAAGGTATGGATCAATCAACATTTCACTAGGGTGAGTGACCTGAAATCCAACTACACCCTTTAATCCCATGTATTCCCAATCTCAATATTTCTATTTCATGACCTCATTTCTCACGATTAATTAACCCAATTAATCAAACAATGTAATTAGGGCATTCTCCATAATTAACATTACAACCCTTAAGGTCCATTTTCATCAATGATTCAACATTTATTCCATTTCTCTATGCCAAACATGCATCTAGGTTTATTATAAATAAAATCCCGACTTTTGTAAAATTACACAAAAGCCCCAAACTTTCAACAAAACTACCAAACCAACCCACATCTCAAATACTAAAATCTAAAGACAAAATCCATAGAGAGGAGTAGGATATCCCTACCTCAAAT